ATATATAGATATATAGATATATATATAGAGAGAGAGAGAGAGAGAGAGAGAGTCCTGGTGTAGCGTTGTAGGATAAGCACTGGGCTGCTAATCACAAGGTTGGCAGTTCAAACCCTCCAGCCAATCCTTAGAAACCCTATACATGGTTGCTATGAGTCACAGCTGACTCTACAGCACTTAAACAGCCAACAGCAATATTTAAAGAGAGATTTCAGAAAAATGGTGCCTGTATTTGTGGAGACTGGCAAGTTTCAAACCTGTGGGTCAGGTGTCAGGCTGGAGGCTTCTCCTGACTCAGATTTCAGGGGCTGATGAACTCAAGATAGGCAGGACAGATGGCAAGAAATGATGACAGGTTACAGGATGACAAGTAGGATGTATAATCAAGAGAGAGTGAGCTTTTCCAGAACATCTACATACACAGGTAAGTCAAAAAGTATTGCAACTTACCCCTTCAAGGACAAAGATTCACCTCTGATGAAGAAGTGAAGATAGCACTGCATCTGTGGCTCAGCTCAGCCTAAAACTTTTTCTGATAAGGGACCATGAAAGCTTGTTGACAGATGGATAGCATGTATTGAAAACCAGTAGATTGTGTCAAAAAATTATGTATTTACCTTTTCTAAAATTGATTAAAATAAATTCTATAGTCAAAGAAAAAGTACCAAGGTTCTGGTGTATGGAGTCCTGGTGTGGCACTGTGGGTTAATGCACTGGACTGAAAAGTCAGTTTGAACCTCAAGGTCAGTGGTTCAAGCTCCCCAGTTGCTCCTCGGAAACCCTATACAGGGTTGCTATTGGTTGGAACCAACTTGGCGATACTTAAAAACAACAACAACACCAGGGTTCTAGTTCATCTATTCACTGGTTTCACTACAGACAAAATGTGTTGGGAGCAATTTGAACTGAAGTTCTCAGTCTTGGGGGTAGTTTAACAGAAGGATTGCAACTAAACAGTTGTGGTCCAGAAAATCGGGCTGCTCCCAGGTCAAGCTGCCCCCTGAGGAACTTGCAGGCTGCCTCTGGGGACAGGGAACTTGCAAGGTTTTTTACTTGTATGACCTTCAGTTTAAGTCTGCAAAGACATCTAGCTGCCCTATCTGTCTCCTTAGCAATCACAAGTTACATTCTTCTGATAAAATCCCGCTTACTGCTTGCATCAATACTACCAGAGGTTTTTTGTACATTTTTCCCTGCCCTTAGCACTTCCTTTGATATATAATAAAAGTGCTGAATCTAGGTCAGTGTCACAGTATCTACATCAGTGTGCTGTGTCCCACCTGGTCCCAACTTTACTATTTTTATTTTGTGTCTTCCTTTTTTTCTAATTTCCCATTACCCCTACTCAGGTTTAATCTTTCCGCACAGTTGCCGAGTATAGCCATTTTCGGACGCGACAAAAATGTGCTTCTGTTTTCTTAAAGCAGTATCTGGCCAAAAGGTTACCACAGACTATGTAAAATAATTGCTTTGTCCAAAGTTAACAGGAAGTGCAAGGCTAGGAGGAAATTGGGCATAACAGTCATTCAGAGTGTCTCATCATGGCTACACCAAATGACAATTGTAGTGTCTGTGACTAAAAGACAGGGGCTCAAAATAGTTCAGAGTTCTGTAAAAGAAGGCATGGAATTCTTATAATCTGAATGCTGAGAGTCACTATAAATAACATCTGTTTCAGTATTTTTATTTTATAGAGGCCCAAACTGAGACTGGGGTCCTGGTGTAGCACTGGACCACAAGGTCAGTTTGAGCTGAAAGGTTGGTGGTTCAAACCCACCAGCTGCTTCTATACCTATCTATGGTGGTGGTGGTGGTGGCTGTGTGCCGTGGAGTCGGTTCTGACTCATTCTGACTCATAGAGACCCTGTACAGGGTTTCTGAGGCTGTATATCTTTCCGGGAGCAGAAAGCCTCATCTTTCTCCCACAGAACAACTGGTAGTTTCGAACTGCTGACCTTGCAGTTCGCAGGCCAATTTGTAACCACTAC